TCCCCACGGGGTGGCAGCGTCTGTGACCGGGCCACCCGTGTTGGCAGCTGACCCCGCTGTGGGGGAGGGAGGCTCCAGGGCTCCCACCCACCTGTGTCCCAGCCGTGTCAGGGCTGCAGCGTGGCTGGCAGAGGCACCGCGTGGTTCCCGGCCGCTATCGGGCCCAGTGGGAGCTGAGTCAGGCCCCGCAGGGCCATCTTGGGCCTGGACATCCCGAGGGGGCCCAGCTCTCTCCCCTCCCTCCTCACTCTGAGCTTGCCTGGCACGGTCTTTTGGTGATGGGGGGCTCGGGTCCTCAGCCGGGTCTGCGCAGACCAGCGGCGGCCACGCCCCTTTGCCCACTGGCAAGCGGGCAGGACCCTCCAGCTGTGAGGTGGCCCTCGGGCCGTGTGAGGTGGACAGCGGGGCCAGAGTGACAGGCAGAGTGACAGATGGGTAGTCAGGTCCAGGAGGAGTGTGGTCAGGAGGGGGAGGGCTCGCCCTCCCCTCCCCGAGGCCCTGCCCCGGGTGCAGTTGACAGGGAGGACAGGAGGCAGTGCAGCCACATGGGCTGTGTCTGTGTCCCAGGGCCCGGCCTCCCCACGGCCCCGGCAGCCCCAGCCCCAAGCTCAGGGCAGCAGAGGGACCTGAGGCAGGCAGGACGCAGGGTCTGCCAGCACCTCCCGGTGTCCCCACGGCTCAGGCCTGGCTAAGCCCGTGTTGCCTGCGTGCGCTGCTGGCCTGGCCAGGGCTTGGCCTTCCCGGTGTGTGTCCGGCTTCTGCCTCGCCCACCCAGGGCCCTGCCAAAGAGGGCAGGGAGCCTGCACCTGTGTCCCAGGCTGTGTGGGAGGCTGACCCCTCTCTGCAGGCCGGCTCCCTCCTCCCTGCCTGTGTAGCCTTGGTTAGGCAGTGGTCCTCTCTGAACCTTCGTTTCCTTTTCTGGGAAATGATTGCTTTGAGCATTAAAAGACAAAAGCCCCTTGGAGCATTAAAAGCCCCTCTGAAGTCCTTTGAGGAGGAGCTGGCCCAGGCCTGGCACGTAGAGCAGGCAGAGACCCTCTGCACCCCACCCTGCCCAACCCCTGCACAGGCTGCACCTCCAGAGCCCTCAGCCCCCGCCCAGCTTGCTGCCCAGGGCCGGCCACGCCCTCCTGCCAGCCAGACTGGGACGAGCCAAGGCCAGGCTGCCTGGGCGGCCTGGAGCGGTGTCACTCCCCACCCTGGCCGGTCCTGTCACTAGAGGCCTGACTTTGGTGTAGGGCAGGGGGGAAGCCGGCAGCCCTCAGAGCCGGAGCCCGGGCAGGCCGGGCGCACCTGAGCCCTGCCTGGCCGCCCGGCTGCGCGGTGCCAGCTGGGACTCCCTGGGTGCTGGAGCTGCCTCTGCTCCTCCCGGACGCCGGGGTCAGGCGGGCCCAGCCAGGTTGCGTGCTGGCACCTGCTCCCGAGTGTCACTGCTTGGCTGCAGGCGGGTGGCTGTGGCCTCAGGTGCGGCTGTCGCCCCGTCTGGCCCAGGCGCAGGGTGGGGGGCATGTGCGGGGCGGGCTGCGCTGCTTTCTCGGTCCCCACCCGCCGTGCCCAGGCGCCCCTAGTCAGGGTGTGGGGGGACGGGCGCCCGCTTCCCGGCCAGAGCTCCCTGCACGTCTGCGCCCACCGGTCCTGCCGCCCCGCCACCGCCCGGCGCTGCCGCGCTGACCGTCCTCTGTGTGCCCAGGCCTCCCGCGGAAGAGCTCAGCCCGCAGTCCTCCCTGTCTCAGTAAGTGCCTGGCGGGGCAGGGCTGGCTCGGCGGCAGGCCCGTGTCCCCACACGCCTGGAGCACCCGCAGCAGGTGCTTCTGCGCTGAGTGCGCTGAGTGTGGTCTGGACAGCAGTGGGCCCTCGGGGACTCCTGGAGAGGAAACGGGGTCCCCTGCCGTGGTGTCCTCGGCCCTCGAGAGCAGCTAGAGGCGGGAGCAGGGACCCGCCCCAGGGCTGACAGGGACAGGCACGCAGTGGCTGCTGGGGCCCCGGCCTCCCGGAGGCTGTGCCCGTCCCACTGTGTGCCCAGCTGTGCCCGGGCTCTGCTGCCGCGGTTCCTGGCTGCCTCTGAGATCCGGTCAAGTGGAGCGAGGCTCTGCGGCCAGGGCAGCCACGCCCGCCCCCCGCACCTGGCCTGTCCAGTGGGGCCTCCACACGACTGCTACTTGCATTGATTGACAGTCGGCAGCGGCAACCGCCTGAGCCCTCCTCCAGGCCCCTCCCTGCAGGCAGCCTGGGCCGGTTACCGTCCCCCTGGAGCCCAGGAGGCAGGGAGGCCGGGGACATAGCCCTGGCCACGTGTCTGCCCTTTCCGGGCCCCTCGCTGGGCACACTCTGCCAGGCTCAGAATAGCCGGGCTCAGGGTTGGCACCAGGCCTGGGCCCGGCCTTCCCTGCCCGCCCAGCGCTGTGAGCAGAGGCCTGCGTGCCGCCCCTGGGCACCTGCGGAGGGGCGCCTGTCGTGGGCCGCGCCCGACCTCTGCCCCGTGTGAGTGCAGGGCTGTGGGGGCCGGGCAGCCTGTGTTCAAGCTCCTCCAGCACGGGCCATCTGTGCGGGGCCACCTGCCAGGAATGCCCCGGCCGGCCCAGTCGGCGGGGACGGCTGCAGCCACCCGGCCTCTGCCTGCCCTGCTTGTCTGGGGCAGCCAGGCCCCTCCTCAGAGGCCCCTGGTGGGGGTGGGGCCTCCTCAGGCCCCCTGTGTGGCGAGACCCTGGGCACGGGTCCCAGTGGGCACGGCTGCACGTGGGGCCCAGTCCCGGGTCCGACACAGCCGAGGACGGGGCAGAGCTGCTGCCTGGGTCTGTCCACTCTGCTGTCCTAAGGGGGAGGGGGCCTGGGGCCCTAGACCCGGCACTTCCTTGGACCTCCCTCCCCGTGACCCAGGGAGGGGGCCCTGGGCCTCAGCCTCATCCCTGCAGGGGTGGGGCTGGCAGGTCCCTGCAGCAGAGCTCGGGGAGCGCACCCTGCGGGCTCCGGGTCCTCACAGTGCCAGGCGTGAGCCCCACACGCGGTCCCGAGGACAGCACCACCCCAGAGCCGGGGTCGGGGCTCTGCCTGTCGAGGGCTCAGGGATCTCGGCCTGACCCGGGTGCACATGGCACCGTTGGAGGCCCGAGCTCCCTCCGCCTCCCGGCGCGGCCAGGCCCACCCCACGCGGGCCGTCAACCTTGTTCCCAGGCCGGGAGCAGCTGGCCGTGCGCTTGGCCGCCTGTTACTCGGCCTGGCCCCGTGGGGAGGGGGCGTCGCGCACCCGGGCGGGGGTGGGGTCCTGCAGCTGCCCTGTGGCCACTCGGGAGCCGGGAGCAGGACAGCGTCATCCGTGTTGGTGAGGAGCCTGGGACGCACAGAGCGTTTAGATCCCCCTCCCCTGCCTGCCCACCAGCTGCCCTCGCGACTGACCGCGCCAGCCAGGGCTGTGGCCACAGGCGCCCTGAGCTTCCTCGAGGAGGACCAGACCACACCGGTCGCCTCAAACGTGCTCCTTGGCGAGACGATCGTTTTTAACCTGCTTCTGTGGTGGCGCTGGGAGGCGCCCCGGTCACAGTTCGTCAGTTTCCGGGGCGCTGCAGGGCGCCCGCCTAGTGGGGAGCCCCGTCTGCCGGGCCCCAGGGCTCCTCTGGCTTTGCGTGGCCGTGCTTTCCCCCGAGGCCGGGCACCACCGCTGAGCGCCCTGGGCTGCCGGGTGGCCGTCCAGATGGTGTCCGCAGCCGCCCGGCTGGGTGCTCACCCGAGGGCCGGCCAGGGCAAGAGGGTCCCAGGTCAGCCCTGCTGAGCCGCTGGGGCCTGGGCAGGGGCTTCAGTTTAGAATGTGTGAGGTGGGGGTGTCGCTGCGGGGCAGCCCTGGGGGGGCCCAGTGAGCGGGGTCGGGCGTCCCCGGTTTCCCGGCCACGAAGGAAGGCAGAGCCCAAGCCGCTGTCTCCGTGGTCTCGTGGTCTCGGCATGTGGCTGCATTTTCTGAGGCCAGCCCAGGTCTGGGTGTGGGCTGCGGGGGGACATGCTGGGGGGGGCAGGGTGGAGCTTCACTCACCCTCAGAGGCCAGGCGGGACCCTTGGGAGTTGGGAGGTCAGGGTCAGAGGTGAGCCCAGGTAGGGCCATGTGGGTGGGAGGCAGGCGGGGCTGGTGGACAGGCAGGAAGGTCCCTACGGTGATGTCCAGTGAGACCGGGCAGGGAGGACAGGGGCAGACAGAGGGTTTGGCAGGACCCTGTCACTGCAGCCCCAGGCTGGGGGTGTCCACTGCGGGGAGGTGGGCAATGTCGGGAGGGCAGCAGAGCCCTCTGGCCTGGGGGTCCGAGGGGCGGCCCGGGGAGGGGCTGCAGGTTGGAACCAGAATTCTGAGGGAGGGGGGCTCCGGGAGAACCTATGGTTGAGGTGGGGGGAGGGAGCCAAGGTGAATGGGGGAGGGGAGAACCAGTGTGGGGGGTGCTGAGAGGCCCAGGAGGGTGTGAGAGAGGGGCAGGGGACAGGAAGACCCCCCAGCTCGGCCTTTGCTGCTCATGGCAGGAGAGTGGCGGGGAAGGGGTGTCCTGGGAGGCCCCCGGCCACCGCGTCCTGGCTGTGGGGCGGTGGGGCGGGTGGAGGGGCTCCACCCAGACGCCTCCCTCGGGCCCCAGGACAGGGCCCGCCTCGAAGCCGACACGGGCCTCCGTCCCGTACCTTGGGTGTCAGGTGCGCGGGGGCAGGACGGGCGTTCCAGACACTTCTGGAGGTGTCGGGCCACCTCCTCACGGGGGCAGTGACGTCAGGCTTTCAAACTCGGTTGAAGAGAGCAGGGCCCACGCACGGCCCGGAACCTTCTCGGAGCCCAGAGGGCCCCGGACGCTGAACAGGCGGCGGCCGGCGGGCCCCGGGGTGCCGGGAGGAAGCTTCTGGAGGGCCAGGCCTGTGCCGTCTTCTGGGGTGCCGAGGCCCTGCCCGGGGCCTGTCCTTGGTCCTCTAATTCGGGAGGCGGCGGGCGCAGGGCCCCGGCCTGTCCCCCGAGGGACCCCATGGCGCGCTCCCCGCAGGGTGCAGGTGGAGTTCTACGTCAACGAGAACACCTTCAAGGAGCGGCTCAAGCTGTTCTTCATCAAAAACCAGAGATCCAGTGAGTGGGGCCTTGGGGCGTGGGGGGCTGGGCGCGTCCTCGGGGAGGGCAGGGCGGGGTGCGGGGCGCCCCCTCTCGGCTCCCCGCCCGAGGCCACTGCCCCTGAGCCCCGCCCGCAGGCCTGCGGATCCGGCTGTTCAACTTCTCCCTGAAGCTGCTCACCTGCCTGCTCTACATCGTGCGGGTCCTGCTGGACGATCCGGACCTGGGGATCGGCTGGTGGGTGACCCGAGGGGCTGGGGGGCCGGGGTCCCCGGACTGAGCTCCCCACCTGGGCCCCCCATCATTGCCGGGCTGATGGGGTCCCCGGGGGAGGCCCGTGGCCAGCACCTGCTGGGCCCCTGGGAGCCCTGTGCCCGGGGCCTCTGGGAGTCCTTCCCATCCCGTGTGACCCCACATCCCAGTGTCCATCCCTGGACGCTGTCCCCGGGTCCCCACCGACTGGCTCAGCGTGGGGTGGGGGCCCATCGTAGACCCACTGCCGCGACCGTGGGTGCAGGTGGACGGACTTGGGAAGGTCCGAGGACAGGCCGGAGGGTCTGGAATAGGTCTCCCCCTTCGCGTGGGGTCTGGGAGGGGACTCCCCTCGGTCCTGCGGGTTGCCCGGGCCCCTGCGGACAGCCCTGCCGCCCTGGGCCCAGCGCCTCTGCAGGGTCTGCCCACCCCCCATGGTTGGTCGGGGACACCACGGGCTGCAGCAACCACAGGAGGGTCCTGGGACCTTCCCGCCGGTCTGGGAACTGCTGCCGCCGCTGCTTGGAAAGGTGTGGTCTCCAGCCCTCAGTCCCGGCGGGAAGCCCCTTGTCCTTTCCGAGAGCCACCGGGACCTTCTCTCTGTGCCAAGGACGCCGTGGCTCCTCCTCCGCCACGTGCTGGTCCCACGAGCACGGCCAGGTTGCCCCGAATCCCGTCTTTGGAGACTCACCCGGGTCTCTCGCTGGCCTCTGCACTCCGTGTCCCCCCTCTCGTCCCACCTCTTGCGCCCTTTCCTTCCGTCTTCGAGCTCCAGGGATTCCTCCTCACAGCCCCTCCCCACGGCCCTGCAGGGCGGTGCCCTCGTCCCTTCCGGTCCCGTTTCCTCCGCTGCTCAGGCTGCTTCTCCTGAGCCCGCGCTGGAGAACCCTCTGTCCCATGCCAGTGGATTCCGCAAATGTCTGGCGATGCTCAGTGCTGGTTACACTCGAGCGCCCAGGCGCCGGGCGGTGCAGTCGGGTGTGGGGCGTGGTCGTCGCTGCTGGGATCTGTGAAGCCTCCAGCACGGGGGCTCTGCTCCGGCTCCTCAGAGCGGGCTCTTCCCTGCAGGGCAGGTCCTGGCTGCCTGCGGATAAGTTTTCGCTCAGCCCCTTCTCATCTGATGCCCACTCACGGGGCCTGGCGTCCCCGGGAGAGTCCTCACTCACCCTCTCCTGAAAACACCCTTCTGTCTTCGTCCAGTCAGAGGAGGGCGGAACCCACCGTGGGGGTTTGAGCAGGAGAATGAGGTGCTACCTGACGCTCAAACCACCTTCCTGGGTTCATCCCACCCTGTCCGCGTCCCGAGTCTCCCGGGGCCTCTGGCTTCCCATCCCTGTAGGGCCTGGGTCACTGCATCCATCCCCCATTCCCCAGCACCACTGGGGCACATGGGTGGGGGGTGGATATATGGGAGGACGGATGGAGGGGTGGAAGGATGGAGGGAAGGAAGTGTAGATGGAAGGAAGGAAGGGCAGGTGGGTGGTGGATGGAAGGACAGATGGAGGGATGATGGATGGAGGAAGGGAAGAAGGGATGAATAGATGATGGAAGGAGGGGTGGAAGAAGGGAAAGAGGTGAGGATGGAGGGAAGGAGGATGGATGGGGGATGGAAGGAAGGAAGGAAGAGCAGGTGGGTGGTGGATGGAAGGATGGAATAAGGGAAGGACAGATGGAGGGATGGAAGGATGGAGGGAAGGAGGAGTGGATGGAGGGATGGATAGAGGGCAGAAGAGATGAATGAATGATGGAAGGAAGGGCAGAAGAAGGGAAGGAGGGGTGGATGGACAGAGGAGGGATAGAGGGAGGGAAGGAAGAAGCTATGAATGGAGGGATGGATGGAGGAGTGGAAGGAGGGAAGGATGGAGGGAAGGAGGAGTGGATGGAGGGAAGAATGGATGGAGGGAAGAATAGATGGATAGAGGGAAGGGCAGATGAATGGAGGGAATGAGGGATGAATGGAGGTAGGGAGGGAAGGATGATGTTGAGTGGCCAGACACTGCTGTGGGCATTGAGTTTCAAGAACCCCAGAAGGCTCGGGGAAAGTGTCAGTTAAGAGGAAAGAGGGGAGGACCTGGCCATCACCATGGCGCTGTGAGCAGTGAGGTCCCATGGTCAGTGGCCCTGGCATCGCTGGCAGTCTGGGCAGAGCCAGCGTGTCTGGGTCCAGGTGGCTTGGAGACACCTGTCCTCAGCAGTGGCTTGGGGAGGTGCCTCTTTGAGTCAGCATCTCGGGGTGGGCGCCCCACCCCCTGTCTCACAGGCACCGTCCAGCCCATTTGGGGCTGCTCCGGCCTCCGGGAGCCCCTGAGTGACCCATGTCTATCTCTGGCCAGCAAGTCCCCTCCCCGGAGCCCGTCACCATCAGCACAGGCAGAATCTGCCTCCGAGTGCCCAGCTCTGCCCCGAGCAGCACCCCTCGCTGCCAGGCTCTGGGGGGCGGATGTGGGGTGTGTTGTCCTGTCCTGTCTGCTGGGCTGGGCAGAGACCACCGCCCACCTCCCCCTGCAGGCTCTGGGGGGGCACCAGGCCCGTGGAAATGTGGGACATGGGCACAGCCCCAAGGCAGGGGCGGCCCTGGGTGGTGGGTGGGTGTCCTCCAGGCCCCCCGTCCCCCGGCAGCCCTGGGAGGGGTCCTTGGGGCAGCGCTGGAGGGGCCTCGGCTGGGCTCTGTCTCTCCGCAGCTGGGGCTGCCCGAAGCAGAAATACACCTTCAATGAGTCGTCCCCCGAGATCAACTGGTGAGTCCTCTCCGGCCGGCAGTGGCCGGACCGCTCAGAGGCCCAGGGCCGGGCGGGGTGGGGAGGACGGAGGTTCAGGCAGCCCAGACCCTGAGGGCCCGTGCCCAGCCTCAGCCTGTCCTCCGCTACGGTTCCCCAAGGACACATCCAGCTGCACCCCAGACCCTAGCTCTGGTCAGCGCTGGGGACGACCCCGTCAGAGGGGAGCGTTAGAGAATTACAAGTTCTGAGCCTACGATCCTCCCCGTTACCTGTCACAAGCCGGCCGTGCAGCCCCTGAGACCACTGACACCCCCGAGTCTGGCCGGGCTCAGCCCCAGCAGCCGTCGGGGGAGGGGAGACTCGGGGAGGGGCGTCTTGTCCCTTCATCATCCTGCAGCCGTGGAAAGTGGGTGCCCCAGACGGCCCGTGGGAAGTGACTCCACAGCAGCCAAGGTGCCAGGCCCAGAGTTTGAGACATGTCCCCAGACCTCGCCAGCCTTGTCCCCAAACCCCTGTCTGCACCAGAGCAGGGCAGGCTGCCCCCTCAGCCTTCTCCCTGTGCCCACGGCCTGCCTGTGCGAGGCTCAGGGGACCCAGGAGGCAGAGTGAGAGGTCAGACGTCCCTCCCCTCCAGGGACACGTGTGGGAGCCTGTCCCTAGCAGCCCAGGTGAGAACAGGGGGCCGCCCAGGCCAGCCGGGACTCGGCTGCACTTGCCCCTGCGTGTCCACAGGGGCACTGGGCCACGCTGGCCCTGGCCGCACAAGTGCTCCTAGGGGCCCTGCCCCCTCCTCCCTCCTCAGGGCCCTTCCTTCCACCACATCCTGGTCCCCCGCAAGGGCCAGGAGGGCGCCCTTGGTCCCAGTGAGCAGCAAACGCTCGGGGCCGGCAAAGGCCCAGTGGTCACTGCTGTGGCCTGGTGGTGGCTGGGGGATGCTAGTGGCTGCAGTGTCCCCTGTGCTGTCCCCTTCTCTCCCCAGGGCTCCCATCCTGTGGGTGGAGAGGAAGATGGATCTGTGGGTGATACAGGTGAGTGCCCACTCCTCATGCCTCCTGACTGCAGTGGGGTTCAGTGAGCACTGAGGACCGACCTAGGCTCAGTGAGCACTGAGGACTGACCCAGGCTCAGTGAGCAGGGACCCAGACTCAGTGAGCACTGAGGACCGACCTAGGCCCAGTGAGCACTGAGGACCGACCCAGGCTCAGTGAGCAGGGACCCAGGCTCAGTGAGCACTGAGGACTGACCTAGGCCCAGTGAGCAGGGACCCAGGCTCAGTGAGCACTGAGGACCGACCCAGGCCCAGTGAGCACTGAGGACCGACCCAGGCCCAGTGAGCACTGAGGACCGACCCAGGCCCAGTGAGCACTGAGGACCGACCCAGGCTCAGTGAGCAGGGACCCAGGCTCAGTGAGCACTGAGGACCGACCTAGGCTCAGTGAGCAGGGACCCAGACTCAGTGAGCACTGAGGACTGACCCAGGCTCAGTGAGCAGGGACCTAGGCTCAGTGAACACTGCGGACTGACCCAGGCTCATAGAGCACTGAGGACTGACCCAGGCTCAGTGAGCAGGGACCCAGGCTCAGAGAGCACTGAGGACTGACCCAGGCCCAGTGAGCAGGGACCCAGGCTCAGTGAACACTGAGGACTGACCCAGGCCCAGTGAGCAGGGACCCAGGCTCAGTGAGCACTGAGGACTGACCCAGGCTCAGTGAGCAGGGACCCAGACTCAGTGAGCACTGAGGACCGACCCAGGCCCAGTAAGTAGGGACCCAGACTCAGCTGTTTTTCCCACAATTTTCCCAGGGACCCCTGAGGGTTCACTGTCCCCCCACCCCATCTGTTTCTCAGTCTAAATCTCTCCTTCCTACTGACCCACCTGTGTCCCTGAGGTTTTCTGGGGGCAGGCAGTGGGGGTGGGCAGCCCAGGCCAGGTCCTGGTGGCTCCTGGTTGTGTTCCGGGCTCTGCCAGCTGCTCGGCTCTGAGTGGTTGATCTGGTCCGCGATGGACCTCACATTTCCACCTGAGACCAGGCAGGGTCTGTCGCCCTCCCAGCCCCGCAGGACTGAACTCCGAGGGGTCGGTGGGAGCCCCTGAGAAGCCCGGGGCTCCTGCCCAGCCCGACCCCATGGGGCACCGCAGAGCCAAGTGGTTGGGTGGCAGGCGGGGCCAGCCCGGTGCCTTCCCGCGAATTGCACCGCAGCCCCGTGGCTCTTGCCAGCTGCTCCAGGATGGAGGGGCCCCCACCTCCATCACACCCTAGGGAGCAGGCGTTTCTAGAGTCTGGCTCTCGGCCCCCGGAGGGGTCAGCTGCAGGTCGTGGCCGGCTGAGACCATCCTGACGTGGGCACCCCTGCCCCCATACACACCCTGGCCTCCTGTGGCGGCTCCGGTCGGCCCTGCTCGGGTCTGGCCGGCCCAGCCCAGCCAGCCAAGGCGCCTTTCCTCCCCGCCTCCCAGGTCATCGTGGCCATAATAAGCTTCCTGGAGACCATGCTCCTCATTTACCTGAGCTACAAGGTGAGTGCCCAGTGCCCCAGCACCCCTCCCCCAGCGCCCTCCCCCAATACCCTCTCCCAGCACCCCTCCCCCAGTACCCTCTCCCATCACCCCTCCCCCAGAATCCTCTCCCAGCACCCCTCCCCCAGTATCCTCTCCCAGCATTGCCAGTGCCCCCCAGCGCCCGCCCCCTAGCACCCCTCCCCCAGCATCCCTCCCCCAGCACCCCTCCTCCAGTGCCCCTCCCCCCAGCACCCCTCCCCCCAGTAGCCCTCCCCCAGTGCCCCTGCTAGCACCCCCTCCCCACAGCCTCCACCCCGTCCCCAGTGCCCGCCCTGAAGCCCACTCTGTCCCCAGGGCAACATCTGGGAGCAGGTCTTCCGAGTCTCCTTCGTCCTGGAGATGATCAACACGCTGCCCTTCATCATCACGGTGGGTGCGCCCCTCTGCGCGGCCCAGTGCGGCGCGGGCGGCCGGCTGCTGACCCGTCTCCCCCACAGATATTCTGGCCGCCGCTGCGGAACCTGTTCATCCCCGTGTTCCTCAACTGCTGGCTGGCCAAGCACGCGCTGGAGAACATGATCGTGAGCCGTGGGCGCGGGCCCCTGGCCTGGGTGGGACCCTGCGGTGACCGGGAGGGAGGCCGGTGACTGGCAGACACAGCCGGTCCCTGTCACGATAGAATACCCGGGTCAAGCCTCAGATTCCCCCTTCCCAGGAAGAGGCAGCCAGGAGACCCAGGGCCGCAGAGACTGGGGCCACGGCAGGCCACGCCTTGTGACCCAGGGCCACGGCAGGCCCCGGGTTGTGTCCTGCTGGCAGCTGAGGGGGCATCGTCCTCAGCCGTGGCCCTATCCCTGCCCTGGCTGTGAAATGAAGCCACAGCGCTGGGCGCAGTCCCTACCCCCCACCCCGCCCCTCGCCTTACCCTTCCCCCAGGGTGCCGGGGGATGGGGCGCAGGGGCCCTGCCCGCTGACAGCCGCGTGCCTTCCGCAGAACGACTTCCACCGCGCCATCCTGCGCACGCAGTCGGCCATGTTCAACCAGGTCCTCATCCTCTTCTGCACGCTGCTGTGCCTCGTGTTCACGGGGTGAGAGCCCCGCGCGGGGGATGCGGGGAGGGCCCAGGTGGCCAGGCACCCTCCCCGGCAGAGCTGGGGCAGGAGAGGCCCAGGAAGCCCGGAGCCCACGGCCCTGGTACACAAGTGGCCCACGGAGTCCAGCTCCTCCCACCCTGGTCTGGCCTCCTGGCCTGTGGCCTTGGGACCCGAGGAGGGGACGGGTCCCAGGCCAGGCAGGGCCTTTTGGTGGAGGCCCAGCTGAGAACAGCAGCCAGGGGTGGGTGGGGGCTAGGCCCCCTCCCAGTGGATTTCCTGGGGTCCGGGAGAAAGCCACCAGGCGGGAAGGGGGCCGAGAGGGGATCAGATGGGAACTGGGGCCAAATTTCGGGCCGGAGCTGGGCTTAGGCACCGTCCTGGGGCCAGGGGCTACTGGGGATCGGGTGAGGCCTTGGGGACAGGGGTGGGGACTCTGCCGTCCCACCTCGCTCAGGCGCAAACGGTCAGTGGGGGGCCACCCTGGTGGCCGGGTCCAGCCGTGCCCACCTCCCCGTGCCCAGGACCTGCGGCATCCAGCACCTGGAGCGAGCCGGCGGGAACCTGTCGCTGCTGACGTCCTTCTACTTCTGCATCGTCACCTTCTCCACTGTGGGCTACGGCGACGTCACGCCCAAGATCTGGCCATCCCAGCTGCTGGTGGTCGTCATGATCTGCGTGGCCCTGGTGGTGCTCCCCCTGCAGGTGGGCCCGGCCCCGCTGGGGCACAGGCGTTAGGGGCGCCAGGCCAGGGCGGCGTGTGCACTGGGCCTCCCGAGTCTTGAGGCCGGTGGTGCTCGGGGCAGTGAACCATGACAGGTCTCCCAGGTGGTGGCGGGTGACCCGCCCACCCAGGACCTGCGCAGAGGCCCTGGGGGCATGAGGGCCACCCAGCTGCTGCCCAGGCCCATCTGCTGGCCACGCCGAGGTTGGGGCAGGCGGGACTGGGCAGGGCAGGCAGAGGCCTGGGGGGACAGCTGCCCCAGGGCACGAGTGGACAGCCTGCACGGCCCTGTCACCCACAGTGGCACGTTCCCCAGGAGCGTGGGTGGAAGGGCCTGGAGGGCCGGGAGCTTTGGAAGAGCCGGACCCCAGGTGTACATGGGGGTTGGGGGAGACGGGCCCAGAGCACCCGGGACCCTCTGCTGGGCCTGCTCGGCCCTTGGCCGGAGTCTGCCCCGACCTTGGTGTCCAGGGCTCCCGGCCTCCCTCCTCTTCTCCCGTGTGAGGCGCCTGCCTCCCGCCTCCCCCGGGGCAGAGCAGGCGCTGAGGGCCTACTGTGTGCTGTGCCGGGACGCTCGAGGTGGCAGAGCCCCAGCATGACTCGGGGCCACGGCTGAGAGCTGGCGTGCGGCACTGCTTGCTCAGCCGGCACCAGCCGCCGCCACGCCCTGTCAGCGAGAAGAAAGGGTGTTCCGAAGGCCCCCCATCCTCCCGTGGGACCGAGCTCGGCAGTCACAGCCCCGGGAGGAGAGCAGCGCGGCCGAGCCCCACTCACAGACGCCCCCTGAGACGGCTCAGGGCTCCAGGCGCAGGGCTGGGCGTGGTCCAGGCATGGGGCGTGCGCCCCAGGGCTGCCGTCACAAACTGCCTCTGCAGGCAGCTCAGCAGCAGGAGCCGCCCTCTCGGCTCTGGGGGGCAGCAGCCCAGGTGTGCACAGGGTGGGGTCCTCTGCAGACCCGTGAGGAGAGTCCACCCCAGGCCCCTCCAGCCTCCTCGAGTGTGGCGGCGTCTCCCAGTCTCTGCCTGCGTCTCACGCAGCCTCCTCTGCGCCTGCCTCCTCACTGGATTTAGAGCCGGCTGACCCGGGTGGCCTCGTTGTGACCACTTACATCCGCAGGGACCGTTTCTACCCCGGTCACCTCGAGAGGTCCTGACGGATGTGAGTTTTAGGGGTCACAGTTGCACACGCTAGTTAGCTCCACTGACCCGCACCGCAGCTGGGAGGCTGCCGCTTTGCAGACGAGCAACCGAAGCCACACGGCCTGGGACCGGCGTGGGCTGACAGCTGGGCCCCACCCGGACCTCTTGCAGGGAAGCCGCTCTGTCCAGTGGCCCCTCAGCCTTGAGCACCTCCTGGCCGTGGACCCAGCTCTGAGCTTCCGGGCCACGGTGTCTGGTGCTGGAGCAAAGTAGGAGACAACCTCCCGTGCCCACAGCACGTGGCCGGCGCAGGTCAGCAAGGGTCTGTTGCCGCTGTTCCCGTGAAGGGTGTTGAATGAACAAGCTCAGAGCTTAGATGGCAAAGGCCGGAGACTTTCGCCTGCAGATATCAGACCTGAGCCCCGAGGCCCCCTGGCCCTAGGCCCAGGAGGGGTCAGCACCCTGGACAGCTCCGTGGCTGGCTCTGTGCTTGGGAGGCGCAGGCCAGGCCCCCAGACTGGCAGCCCCTTTGCCTTCCCTCAGGTGGGGTCCTGGCCGCCGGGGCAGGGTGCTCCCTCCACGCCTGGGGCCTGACCAGGCAGCGTCACCATGCACAAGTTCCCGCTGTCTGGGCTGGGACCTCACTTGCTGTCTCGGGGTCTGGGGAGAAGATCCGAAGTCCTCACGGTTACTGGAATGTGCCGCGCGCAGGCGCCGGGCGTCTGGGGTGGGGTCGGCCTTGCCACGCTGTGGGCTGCCCACGTGCTGGCCAGCAGGGACGCCCGCTCTGCTCCCCGTGGGGCCCGTGCCACACACACCCGAGGTCTCCCGACTGCCCCATTCCCGCCACGTCTCTGCCCGGGCTGCCCTCCTCCCCTGCGGGCTCGGCCTCGGTCCCTGCCGCTCGCTCGTGGGAAAGGCCCCGAAGTGTGGCCGACACCCCACGGCCGGCGCTCACCCCGCTCTCACCTGCAGTTTGAGGAGCTCGTCTACCTGTGGATGGAGAGGCAGAAGTCGGGGGGCAACTACAGCCGCCACCGGGCCCAGACGGAGAAGCACGTGGTCCTGTGCGTCAGCTCTCTCAAGATCGACCTCCTCATGGACTTCCTGAACGAGTTCTACGCACACCCCCGGCTCCAGGTGAAGCCCTTCGCCGAGGCTGCCAGACACCCACCTCCGAGGCCTCAGGGTCCTCCTGGCCCCAGAGTGGCCACCACCTCCGCAGGACCGCTGCGTGCTGGGCAGGTCCCTAGACGCCCCTGGGGCTGGGGCTGGGGCTGGGGCTGGGGCTCCCGCCTTTCCCTGTCTGATTGGAGAGCACAGTGCGCTCCAGCCGGCCGGGCGGTGGGCGTGAGGACAGCTGGAGAGCGGGCGGGCGGGAGTTTGTGCGGAGCGTCTGACCGCAGCCTGGCCGGCAGGACTACTACGTGGTCATCCTGTGCCCCACCGAGATGGACATCCAGGTGCGCAGAGTCCTGCAGATCCCTCTGTGGTCCCAGCGCGTCATCTACCTGCAGGGCTCTGCGCTCAAGGACCAGGACCTCATGCGAGCCAAGTGAGCTCTGTGGCAGGGCTGGGCCCCTTCCTGGGACGGGTGCCGCCAAGGGGCTGGGGGATGGGCCAGGCCCTCACGGCGGGGGTGCTGTCCTGGGCCGGCCCTCCCAGCGAGCTGCTCCAGGCTGTGGTCCCCAGGGCGGGGGTGGCCTGAGGCTCTTGGCCAGGTGTGAGTAGGGCTGGTGGGGGTGGGGTGTTGGGGGGGGAGTTGTCTCGTGGCCCCAGCCACGGCCCAGGTGAGCAGGACCTTGCACAGCTGCCCACTGGGGACTGCCCACGGGGCCAGCCCACCCAGCTGCGCCTCTGCCTCCCTTCTGCCGGGCAAGGGTCGGCCTTCGGGAACCCCCTCCCCCGCTCCAAGTGTGGGGACCTGTGTCGGGTTCCAGGAAGGCTCACAATAGAGCAGGGGTGGAGACTCGCCCGCTATGAGTCAAGGTGGGGGCATGGGGGCTGAGCGTGGAGCATCCTTTTAAAGACAAGTTGACAGAGTGACTTCAGGTCAGAGGAGTGCATTGTCACATGGAACTTTCCAGAACATGCTGGAACACGTTCTAGGACACTCCCCGGGAGCCCCTCCTGCCACATTTTCATTCCTGGAGCCTTGCCGTGTCCTTTGTGGCACTGAGTGGGTTGTGTGGGCCGAGGAGGGCAGGAGACCCAGCACCAGGGGCCCCTCTCTCCCCTTCCTAGAGCCCCTGGGGACCAGGTGCAGCCAGTTCTGGGGTCCTGTCCATGGTGTCCAGCTCTAGGCCGGTAGGGTGGGGCGAAGAGGTGCCTGTCCAGGCAGGGTCAGGCCCAGGGCGGTGGGTGCTGGTGATGGGGGGTAGCTGTCCTGGGCAGGTAGGGGACAGCTTCTTCTCAGCAGCCTGAGTCCTAGCGGGAGGACAGATGGAAGGGGTCACTCAGGTTACCTGGCTGGGGAGGGAACAGGGTCTCACCCCAAGAACCCGCCTCCCTCTGTGCCCAGCCCCGCCCTGGCTAATGGGGGCATCCAGAATGGGCACCCCCAGAAGCCGGCTGACGCCCAGGCCTGGTCAGCCCCAGTGCCCAGGTCATTGGCACACAGTGAGGTGGAGTCCCGACAGGCCCACCCCTTGCAGCCTCTGACACCTGGCTCCGAGCCCCCACATGGCCTCCTGCCACCTTCCTACCTGGACACCCAGGGACAAGGGGGGGCAGGGGTGGGGGTCTGTGAGGGGGAGGCACAGTGGGTCCCTGTTAATGCTGTGGCCTGGAGAAGCTGGGGACAGCTAGTGTCCAACTGCCTGTGCAATGGGGGACAGGCCTGGCTTGTGTGCCCGGTTGAGTGTCCGAGCTCAGCCCCTTCTGAGGGTCCCCCGAGCCGGCGCTCAGCCCCGGTGCTCTGCAGGATGGACAACGGGGAGGCCTGCTTCATCCTCAGCAGCCGGAACGAGGTGGACCGCACCGCGGCGGTGAGTGAGGTGCAAGCCCTGCCCAGCCCCCACGGCTGCAGCCCACACCCACCGGGCAGGGAGGGCCCCGAGGGCAGAGCCCCCCAGCTTGTTGCTGCTGCCCGCCTACTCACCTGCTGGCAGAGGCAGAGACATCCACACTGACCACTCCCTGCCCCACCTGTCAGGACCACCAGACCATCCTGCGGGCCTGGGCCGTGAAGGACTTTGCCCCCAACTGCCCCCTCTACGTCCAGATTCTCAAGCCCGAGAACAAGTTTCATGTCAAATTTGCCGGTACGTTTGGGGCGGGGGCACATGTGCACAGGGGTGAGGGTGTTGTGTGCAGGTAAGTGTGCACACAGGTGAGCGTGCACACAGGTGAGGGGGCAATGTGCAGGTGAGCATGCATATGGGTGTGTGCACAGGTGAGCATGCACACAGGTGAGGGTGCAGTGTGCAGGTGAGCATGCATACAGGTGTGTGCACAGGTGAGCGTGCACACAGGTGAGGGTGGAGTGTGCAGGTGAGTGTGCATATGGGTGAGTGTGTGCACAGGTGAGCGTGCACACAGGTGAGGGTGCAGTGTGCAGGTGAGCGTGCATATGGGTGTGTGCACAGGTGAGCGTGCACACAGGTGAGGGTGCAGTGTGCAGGTGAGTGTGCATATGGGTGAGCGTGTGCACAGGTGAGCATGCACACAGGTGAGGGTGCAGTGTGCAGGTGAGTGTGCATACGGGTGAGCGTGTGCACAGGTGAGCGTGCACACAGGTGAACGTGCAGTGTGCAGGGCTGGAACTCTGTCCACACACAAGCACCAGGAGGCGCTGGAGGGGCCAGCAGACCCTCCTCCTCACCGCATCAGGGGAGGGGCCTGGGGGTCAGTGAGGGCAGGAGCACTGTGGGCTGAGCACCTCCATGGGCAGGGTCCACACTGCCCTGGGCTCTCGACAAGCACAGAAGCCCCATAAGGTTCAAAGTGCCTGGAGAGCCCAGAGGCTTCCAGGTGGAGATGGGGGAACCGGGCCTGAGCAGTTTGCCCAGCAGGCGGGCGGGGCTCTAGGGAGGGCAGCAGTGGGTTGCCCACCTGGTGGGTGTGGACCCCACCTTTTGACCCCGCAGACCACGTGGTGTGTGAGGAGGAGTGCAAGTACGCCCTGCTGGCGCTGAACTGCATCTGCCCGGCCACGTCCACGCTCATCACGCTGCTGGTGCACACGTCCCGCGGCCAGTGAGTGCCCGGACGCCCGCCGGCATCGCGGGGACAAGGCAGGCCTGCGCGGGGGCCACCCAGGCCGCGGGTGGGCTCCGGAGGGGGGCGCAGGGTGGGGCTGAACGCGCCAGGACAGTGGGGCGCATTAGGGTCAGACGGAGTGGGACAGCGAGATGTTGGGGTCAGATGGGGCGGGACAGCAGGTGTTAGGGTGGGACAGTGGGACAGCGGTGTTGGGGTGAGACAGGGCAGGACAGCAGGTGTTAGGGTGGGACAGTGGGTATTAGGGTGAGACAGGGCAGGACAGCAGGTGTTAGGGTGGGACAGTGGGTATTAGGGTGAGACAGGGCAGGACAGCAGGTGTTAGGGTGAGACAGGGCAGGACAGCAGGTGGTGGGACAGTGGGTATTAGGGTGAGACAGGGCAGGACAGCAGGTGTTAGGGTGAGACAGGGCAGGACAGCAGGTGTTAGGGTGAGACAGTGGGACAGCGGTGTTAGGGTGAGACAGGGCAGGACAGCAGGTGTTAGGGTGGGACAGTGGGTATTCGGGTGAGACGGGGCAGGACAGTGGGCGTTACCGTGGGACCCTCAAGCGGGGCGGCTGAGCGTGGCGCTGCCCGCAGGGAAGGCCAGGAGTCGCCGGAGCAGTGGCAGCGCATGTACGGGCGCTGCTCGGGCAACGAGGTCTACCACATCCGCATGGGCGACAGCAAGTTCTTCCGCGAGTACCAGGGCAAGAGCTTCACCTATGCCGCCTTCCACGCGCACAAGAAGTGAGGGCGGGGCATGGGGGCGTGTTCGGGGCGGGGCCTGAAACGGGGTGGAGCCTCTTGTGGGTGGGGCTCGTAACGGGCGGGGACTCCTGGGGGCGGGACTGCGGGGGGGGGCCGTTGCACGGGGCGGGGCTTCAGTAGGCGGAGCTGTTCGGGGCGGGTCTCGCGTGGGCGGGGCCTCACGTGGGCGGGGCCAGCAAGTGGGACTTGACCTCTTCCCTGGGTCTGGGCGGCAGGGATGGGGGGCGGGGCTCAGAGCAGGTGACTCAGGCGAGCGGCAGGGTTGACGTGGGCGCCTGCGTGCGGCCCTGTGGGGAGATCCACGGGGGAGAGGGGGCCCGGCCAACCGAGCTGCCTCCCCCAGGTACGGCGTGTGCCTCATCGGGCTGAAGCGGGAGGAGCACAGGAGCATCCTGCTGAACCCCGGGCCGCGCCACATCCTGGCGGCCTCGGACACCTGCTTCTACATCAACATCACCAAGGAGGAGAACTCGGCGTTCATCTTCAAGCAGGAGGAGAAGCAGCAGAGGCGGGCGGGCCCGGGGCTGTGCGAGGGGCCGGGGCGCCTGCCCGTGCACAGCATCATCGCGTCCGTGGGTGAGCCCGCCGCCCGTGGCCTGGGCCCCACCCTGGGCGAGTCCAGTCTCTCTGAGCCGGTTTTTGAATCTGTCAAATGGGGTGTCCCCACATTTGCTGCATTGGTCAATGTGGCCCAGTGCCTGCCTCAGTGGGGCCGACCTGGGTCAGGGGTCGCTGGGAGCCTCTGACCTTGGGGTGCACAAGCCAGGCAGCCACCCCGGTGGGTAAACTGCCCCCATGGCCAGCTGGCAGCTGAGCTGGAACCCCTGGTGGTCCCATCAGCCCCAAGGGGCTCCTTTACGCACGTCCCTCGGATAGGCGGAGGCTTTGACGCCTGCTGGGACCAGGAGTCAGCTGCACGAGACCAAACCTAGGCTTTGGTCTCCCCTTGCCCGCCAGGGCTCCTCCCGGGCTGTGCTGGGCGAGTCCTGCCACCCCCTGAGCAGGTGGGGCCGTGCTCCAAGGGCCCCAGCAGTGACGGCCCCAGCAGTGACGGTGTGACGCCCTCCCTGGCCAGGCCAGGAAGCCGTGCAGGCCACAGAACCACAGGCTGGGCCAGGCTTCGCCATTTCTGCGCAGTGACGGGCCTGAGCTCTGACCCAAGCAGCACACGGACACCACTGGCCTGGGAGGTCAGGGCGTGGTCCCCATTGGGGCACCGTGTGTCTGGCTCAGTGTGTCACAGCTGCCCAGACCCAAAGCGCCCTTGGGTTTGGAGACGTGGTGATGTGGGGCCAGCCAGGCCTGCAGGTTGCCACCCCTGTGGCCGCCCACTCTGGTGGCCAAGTGGCTTGAGGGGCAGGGAAGCCACTACCACCGGCCCCACGTCCATTTGTCATGTCACACTGGATACACTGCCCCCAGGTGGCTTCCAGGACACCATGGTGGGCAGGCAGTCTATGATCCCAGAGCCCTAGGGTTCCCCAACCCCCACTGGGTGGCACAGGCTGCACAGGAGTGGCAGAGGCTGCTCCAGCAGGTGCTAGAGGCCCAGCCACTCCTGTGTCATCTTGGCTGCGGTCCCTCCCACCCGGCTGTGTCCTCAAGGCAGACTGACCAGCCGCCCAGCCCCTGAGCCCGAGAGCTGCCAATATCACCCCACCCTTGGGTGGTGGGCATGGCCGCCACAGCAGCTGACTTCAGTGGGGGCCCTGGGGTCTTTGTTTAACATCCGCACCACCCCAGCAGGCCACCGTCCACACCATGCGTGGGAGAAACTGAGGCTCAGAGAGGTGCGGAAGCTCCATGGGGCCCCGTAGCTGGAGGACAGGAGCCGTGCTCACCCCTGCTCTGGGAACCCCCTGCCCCAGAAGAGCCAGGGGTGGGCGGGGCTGCGGCAAGCTCAGTGGCTGTCTTCCAGGGACGGTGGCCATGGACCTGCAGCACGCCGAGTGCCGGCCCCAGCAGAGCAGCGGGGGTGGCGGGGGCGGTAAGCTGGCGCTGCCCACGGAGAACGGCTCGGGCAGCCGGCGACCCAGCATCGCGCCGGTCCTGGAGCTGGCGGACAGCTCGGCCCTGCTGCCCTGCGACCTGCTGAGTGACCAGTCAGAGGACGAGGTGACACCGTCGGAGGACGAGGGGCTGTCCGTGGTGGAGTGAGTGCAGGGGTGAGGGAGGTCTGGGTGGGAAAGGTCCCAGCGGTGGGGGGCCCGGCGCCTGTGCTCTGAGTCGCAGCTTTGGAACGGCCCCGCGGGAGTCCTTGTTTGGCAAACGGCCTCTCCAAGGACCCGGACGTGCACACAGAGCCGCAGAGCTGTGGCCGGGAGCAGGGGCTCTGCCGGGCTGCGCCCTCCCGCAGTCTGGGCTGGCTGCAGTGCTGCCCCCTGGGGTCCACAGACCCCACTCAGTGATGGTGACGTGCCGGGGGCGGGCCACCCTCTGAGAGGGGCCCTTCCTGTCCATTTTACCAGCCGCGCAGGGGCTTGGCCCCAGAGAGGTGGCCTGCTAGGAGGCCAGGCCAGCCCAGCAGCAAGTGGAGAAGTGCTCACAGCCCAGGTGTCCACCCTTGTCCTGGACGCTGGGGCATTAGGGAGGGGGTGGCTGGCGGGCGGAGCCCTGCAGGTTCTATCTGTGGCTTCAGGGTCGTGACTAAGCTTGTGTGTGTGGTGTGCATACAGGGTGTGTTATATGTGCTGCCTGTGTGTGCTTGTCTCTCCGGTGTGCATTTGTGTGTGTACCTGGGTCAGTGTCTGTGTTGTGTGTGTTGGATGAGGTCTCGCCCCAGACCCCCAGGGAAGGAGGCAGGCATGGAGCAGCTGCTGGGGAGGAGGGAGCAGTGTGAGAGGCCCCTCCACACCCCATTTTCACCTCCAGCCCCCCAAGGCCCTGGCAGGGGCCAAGACCAGCTTCCCAGCCCTGGCCTGGCGGTGGCCGAGGCCCCATTGTCGGGCAGGCCCTGGTCGCCGCAGGCTGGTGTCTGCGTGGCTGTCCTGGGCACAACCTGTAGCACACTTGGTCCTGGGCACCAGGGCCGGGCAGGCCCCTTGCCGTGGTCTTGCCGTGGCCACAGGCGTGGCTCGAGGAATGCTTCCTGACGCACAGGTGGTCTAGGGCAGAGCAGCCCACGCTGGCCAGCCCGGCTGACACCGAGTGCCTGTCTCCACCAGGTATGTGAGGGGCTACCCGCCCAACTCGCCCTACATCGGCAGCTCCCCCACCCTGTGCCACCTGCTGCCTGCCAAGGCCCCGTTCTGCTGCCTGCGGCTGGACAAGGTAAGGCTACGCCGGGGCCAGTTTTCCCACTGCAAGATGCTTTTCGTCTTGTGGGTGACGAGTCGTTTGGGGAGACGGGTTGTAGGTGAATAAACCTACAGTTTATAGGATTTCTACCGACTGGCTCCGGCGTCAGTGGATGGTTTTCTAGTTCTAGAACCCAGCTTGCATTTTTGTCAGCGTCTGCTGTGAACAGGGGCTTCCCCTCCCCCGTACGGTTTTACCCACTGTGCACCGAGGTATGTGGCGCGACGGCCCAGCCCATCTGCTGGCAGGTCGCCAATGAGCCGGAAGCTCAGACTGTCCAGCCTGCAGAGGTTGGGCTCCCACCTGGCTTCCGGGAGCTTCTGACAGGTTCCACCAGCCTCTGAGCACTTCTCTGCCGCCTCGACCAGGTGCCCCGGCCTTGTCTGGGACTCGCCCAGCTCCGGTCTGGAATTGCCTGTTCCTCCGAGGACCCCTCATTTTTTTCAGTGGAAAATGATGTTTAGAAACAAAGATCTGGACGCTGGTGTGCTCGCTGCCGCTGTGCTGTCCCTGCCTCTCGGGGACAGAGCTAGGAAGCGTGTCTCACACTCACACACGCACACAGCACGCATGCACAACACGCCTGTGTCTGCAGCCACATGCTGAAACCACACGTGTGCACAGATACCGTCCTTCCCAGACCTGGCGCGACTTCCCTCCCCGCTCTGCGCCTGTGGCCGCAGCCGTGGTGTCCGGTGGCACCTGCAGCTCCAGGAGGCTCGTGCTGGGGGGCGGGGGGGGGGTCCTGGTGCTGCACAGGCCAGTGCTGCCTCCATGCCTCCTCCCCAGGGCTGCAAGCACAACAGCTACGAGGACGCCAAGGCCTACGGCTTCAAGAACAAGCTGATCATCGTGTCGGCCGAGACGGCCGGCAATGGGCTGTACAACTTCATCGTGCCGCTGCGTGCCTACTACCGATCGCGCAAGGAGCTCAACCCCATCGTGCTGCTGCTGGACAACAAGTGAGGCCCCACGGCCCTGCTGCCCCCGCCCTGCCCCGCCCTCGCTGCCTTTCCCCCCTCCACTTCCTCCCGTGGCTTCTCCCTCCCCCAGTGGGTCTCCAGGGTGGGGGCCACATAGCTCTCCCCCCAGGGGACTTTAGGGCCTGGCGGCTGCAGGCCAAGATCCCATCTGGGCCATCTGACCTTGGCGCGTGCCACCCTGGGGCCTCCGTTCCCCTTGGATAAAATAAGGAACGGCCCCGCTGGCCCTAAAGGCCCGCATGCTGTGGTTCTGGGGCCCCGCTCAGCCCAGCTCTGCCATCTGGGGCCTGGCCCCACGGGGTGGGGAGGGCGGGGAGCAGCGTGGACCCCTCCAGGACGCCCTGCCCCCCAGGCCCGACCACCACTTCCTGGAAGCCATCTGCTGCTTCCCCATGGTCTACTACATGGAGGGCTCCGTGGACAAGTGAGTTCGGCACTGGGCTGGCCACGCTGTGGGGAGGTTCCACCCTTCCTCTTCCTCCTCCTCCTCCTCCTCCTCCCCTCCCCGGGGTGGCCCAGGACCCAGGGCTGGGGGAGGGGCGGAGCCCTGGGAGGGAACCCTGGGCCAGTGGGGGGTGTGGGCCGCCCCCCCACGTGGCTGCCGGCGCCCCCCAGCCTGGACAGCCTGCTGCAGTGCGGCGTCATCTACGCCGACAACCTGGTGGTGGTGGACAAGGAGAGCACCATGAGCGCCGAAGAGGACTACATGGCCGACGCCAAGACCATCGTCAACGTGCAGACCATGTTCCGGTGCGCCGCCCCCCCCCCCCCCCACGCCACGGCCCCCCAGACCCCTGCGGGACGCGACCCCGCCCTGAGACCCCTGGCGTGACACGTGTGCCTCCCCTAGCCTCTTCCCCAGCCTGAGCATCACCACGGAGCTCACCCACCCGTCCAACATGCGCTTCATGCAGTTCCGCGCCAAAGACAGCTACTCCCTGGCTCTTTCCAAACTGGAGAAGGTGAGTGGCCGGGCCCTGCCAGCCCCTCCCAGCAGCCCCGAGGGACAAGGGGGCTGGGAGCCCAGGGCTCAGCACGCCTAGGGTCACCCGAGTGACCTGCGTTTCCCTGGCCGCCCTCGGGCCACCGGCCAGCAGCAGCTGCCGTCTCCCTGAGCAGGGGCCAGGCAGCATGGCAGAGGCCAGGGCGCCTGTCCTGCTGGTCAGTTGGCCGGGAGCCCTCGGGTCAGGTGGTTCTGGGGGTGAGCCGGCCACCGTTGGCACCAGCGACACCCACAGGCCCTGACTGTGTGCAGCCTCTGTCCCTGATGCGGCGCCTGCAACTCGTTCATTCCCACGCCCGCCCCGTGTTGACGAGGGGCTGAGACCAGAGAAGGCAGTGCAGCTGCTTTGGGTCCCACAGCGGAGCAAGTGCCCAGCTCGAGTCAGCTTTCTGCTCCTCGGGGCCCCAGGAAGGGCCTCGGCCAGGGTTGGGGGTGGAGCCCCAGGGCACGGGACCCACTGGGGACCAGCAGGTGTGCGGGTGGCAGGGCCACCGTCGGTGCCACCTGGGTGTGTGAGCGCCCCTGCTTAGACCGGTGGCGGCTCCACCTGGTCCCTGAGGGAGGGCCAGGCCAGGCGCCAGGGTGAGGGCGGCACTCGGGCTGAGGACCCTCCTCTCCGCAGAGGGAGCGTGAGAACGGCTCCAACCTGGCCTTCATGTTCCGCCTGCCATTCGCCGCCGGCCGCGTGTTCAGCATCAGCATGTTGGACACGCTGCTCTACCAGGTCAGCTGCCCGGGCAGGAACCTTCCCCCTATCCCCAGCCAGGGCTGGTCCCGCACTCCCCTGCAGTCCGGGAAGCAGAACAGAGGGACCCCCGCCCGTCCCCCCACACTGCCCGGGATCCACGCCTGTAGCCCCTGGGCTTCCGAGCCCCGGCACCAAGCAGTGCCCGGCCTGGTGGATTCCCGGACTCAGAGGAGGCTCTGGCTCCTGCCTGCCGGCCGTCCTGTGCACAGGGACCAGTAGGCGGGTGGCTGGTTGTGGGCGAGGGGCTGAGGGGCACACAGGCGGGCAGACGTGTGCCCGCTGCGCCCGCCCGCCAGCCTCCCCGTGGCTCCCCGCAGTCCTTCGTCAAGGACTACATGATCAGCATCACCCGGCTGCTGCTGGGCCTCGACACCACCCCCGGCTCGGGCCACCTCTGTGCCGTAAGTGACGGGCCGTCCCCGGGCAGCGCGGCGGTCTCCTGGCCCGGGCGCCCGCCCCGCTCAGGCCCCCACTCGCTGCAGATGAAGATCACTGAGGAGGACCTGTGGATCCGCACCTACGGCCGGCTCTTCCAGAAGCTCTGCTCCTCCAGTGCCGAGATCCCCATCGGCATCTACAGGACCGAGTGCCACGTCTTCTCCTCCTCTGAGGTTCTCGCCACGCCCCCCGCTCCTCCCCAGCCCCTTTTCAGTTTTGGGGCCCCGGGCGTGCCTGGCCTTGCCTCTCCCAGCAGCTCCTCCATGTCAGGTCCCCGAGCCCCGTCTGCGATGCCTCCCGTGGGAGCCTGAGCAGGGGTGGGGGGCGGGGAGCCCCGCGCGGGCCCTGGCACGCTCTGCGCAGGACACGCAAGGGCTGAGGCAGCGCTGGGGGAGGGGTGCTCCCCAGTCCCTGACCACTCTGGTTTCCTTTGCAGACCCACGACCTCAGAGCCCAGGTGAGCACCCCACTTCTTACCACCAGAGCATCTCGGCTTCCTGTGGGAGGGAGTGGGCCTCGAGGATGTGTTGGCCACGGCGCAGCTCTGAGGGGCTCTTGGTGGTCGCCCCTCATGTACAGGTGGGGAAACTGAGGCTGGGGGGAAGTCACGTATGGGTTTGGACACCAGGTGCACCCCTCCCTGGCCCAGCTGCCCCTCTCTGGCTCCCCCGGCCGCACGTGCCGCCACCCCCAGCACGGTGAGCACCCCCAGCTGGCCTGGCCTGACCACCCGCCCCGCCTCGCAGGCCTTTCTGAAGGCGCTGCCCAGGCGGGGGCCCACGTCGCCCCGCCCCTGCCCTGGCCCCATCACTCAGTCCACCACTGCCCCCTGCTCTCGCCAGCACCCCAAGGATGTGTTCCAGAGAGGGACCACAGATGAGGAAACTGGGGCACAGAGAGGGGTGGCCCTCCCCGGGCAAAGCCAGGCTGTGCCGGTCCCGGCAGGCCCCCAGCCAGACCCATAGAAGTGAGGGCCCAGCGAGGCGGAGGGGGGTGGGGCGGGGCCCCATCCCTGGATACGTGGCCGGCAGGGGCTGGGTGGTGGGGGCTTAGGAGACCTGGCCCCTCCCCAGAGGAGGAAGGCACAGGCGCCCCAGCCTGCGTCCCTCCCCCTCTCCCCTGACCCCGCAAGCGCGCCCCCAGCCCCCGTGCCCACAGCCCACACCTTCCCTGCCGGCCCGTGGCAGATCTCGGTGAACGTGGAGGACTTGGAGGACACGCGGGACGTGCGGGGGCCCTGGGGCGGGCAGGCCGGCAGCGGCAGCGGCAGCGCTCATGGCCGCCACGCAGGCAGCGAGGACCCGGCGGCGGAGCACCCGCTGCTGCGGCGCAAGAGCCTGCAGTGGGCCCGGAGGCTGAGCCGCAGAGGCCCCAAGCACGCGGCGAAGGCAGCGGCCGCGGACTGCATCGGCCACCACCGGCTCAGCCTCTGCCGGCGCTCTGAGCGCCAGGAGCTCTCTGAGCTGGTCAAGAACCGCATGAAGCACCTGGGGCTGCCCACCACCGGCTACGGTAAGAGCGCCTGCTGCGGGCCGGACGGCCAGCTTGCAATGGGGTCGGCCGTGGCTAGGAACCATTGACCGTGGCCCTCCGGGGCCCCACTGGCCTCCTGGCCCCACTCTGCCCGCCCACGGCTGTGGGGCCACCTCCAGGCAGCCCCGTGGCCTGTCTCAGCCCCTCCCCCTGGAAGGTGGGGTGGCCGGACCCACCCTGGTGTGGGGAGGGCACAGGACCCCCCAACACTACCAGCCCTAAGGAAGGGCTCACTCCCACCACTCTGGGGCCTCGGTTTCCCCATCCGTAAATAAGAGACTGGGGCCCAGAGGTGGTGGCTGAGGGTGGGGAAGGCCTGGCTGGACTTCCCAAAAGCCAAGGCCTCGGTCTGTGACGGGCACAGCTGGGTGAACGGCCTGTGCCTGGACACCCCGCCCCCCTGTGTGTGGCCACCCCAGGTTTCCATCTTCATCAGCAGGTGGGGCTTCACGCAGCCCCTTCTCTCTGCACCTTGCTTTGGGGCGACATGCTTGCGACTCCGACCATGAGTGCCCTGGCCAGCTCAGAGGAGGGAAGCTCCTCCCCTCCCTGGCTCTGGGGACACTGCCTCTGTTGATAAGGCCAGAGGGGGCCCAGCCCTGGCCAGTGCCACTGCCAAGCCACATCCACGCCAGACTGGGTCAGATGCCAACCCCCCCGCTGGCTCCACCTTGGGCTTGGCCAGCACGGGCTGCCTCTGTCCCACCGCAGTGCCTGCCCCACCCTGCTTCCTGCTGCTGAGCCCCCTCCAAGGGGAGTCGGGAGCTCAGGGCTCGCCTAGGAGCTGCCTGGGGGCCGCACACACCTGGCCGTGCCGGGCTGGCCAGACCCAGCAGCGACTTAACGAGGGGTGGCCCAGGAGCCTGTCCCAGCCCCATGGACGTGTGGAGGGCACCCGGCATGCCTTGTCCCCTCCCAGCGTCCCTGCCGGGTAGGTGCCGCCACCCCGTCCCAGGGGAGGGGGCTGACTGCCGAGGCTCAGAGTGTCTGATGCCCCCACCCCCACGGCGAGTGCTGAGCCGGCGCCTGCCACGCACGCCCCTCGGCCTCCAAACCCCCCCGCCTGCTGCCCACCAGAGCTTGGCAAAGGAGGAGCCACTTCCTGTCGCTGCCACGCGGTGTGGCTGCCCCTCGCGCAGCCCGCCCGCCTGCTGACCTGTCTCTCTCTCTGTCTCTGTCCGTGCCTCTTCCTGTGTGCGCCGTAGAGGACGTAGCAAACCTAACAGCCAGTGATGTCATGAATCGGGTAAACCTGGGATATTTGCAAGGTAATTCTGCTCCGGCAGGCGCCGACTGCCGCACGAGGGGGCGTGCTCACCCCTCGCCGCCGGGCAGCCTTGCGCCCGCCCCGTCCGGCCAGGCAGGTGGACAGCAGACAAAGAGAGGGTCCCGGGCCGAGCCCGCACGCCTGCCCGCGGCTGCGCTTTGTGCCGGGGCCGTGGCTGCCCAGCTCTGGGGCTCGTGCCCAAGCCCCTTTGCTGGTCGAGAAGACACGTCCTGCCGCCTCCATTGCCCTGACCGGCCTGTGGGGTGTCTGAGGACCCCGAGCCCACCCGGCTCTTGGGAAGCAGCAGAAGACAGTCCACGGGGTCCTGAAGTCCCCGCACTGTGGACGGCGGGCGGATGGCAACGTCCACCCCAAGGGTGCGAGGGGCTCTTCCTGTCCAGTGAGGCCGGTCGCGCCCTGCGTCTCGTCCGGGTGTTCAGGTGCTGCCGTGGACCCGTTCCCTCCAAGATGCCCCACTCATGCTCGTGGCAGGGGCCGGGCAGGGGCTCCCCTTCCTTGGGGGCTTCCGGCAGCCAAGGGGAGCCCGGTGGGCTCTGTTCGCCAGGATGCGTGAGCCGTCCAGGCAGACTCAGGCTTGGGACAGCCATGGAGGCAAAGTGCTGGCACTTTCCAGGTTCCCGGTCTGGGCTTTCCCTGCGTCTCAGGATGGCACTCACGCAAGGCCCGCCCTCTGCCGGCGCCTCCCAGGAACTGGCGTCTGTGCTGCCTGCACCCCCACCACCCACCCCTGCTACCGCAGTTCCCTGGCAGGTGGTCACCAGACCTACCTGGCGCACATCTGCTGAGCGCTGGGGCTGGGAGGGGGGCGGGCCCTGCTGCTGCACCCCTATGCGCAGATGTTGGGCAGGGCCTGGGCCGAGGTGTGGAACCACGGGAGTTGGGGGAAGGGTGACCTGGTTCGCGGGGCCTGCAGGGCGGCCCCGGGGCATCACCAGGCCCTTCCAGTGGGCCCTGCGTGCAGACGGGGAGAAGCCCTGGCCTCTCCTCCCAGAGCACAAACACCCTCTTCACCGCCACCCTCGGAGGGAGGCACTCAAGTCACCCCCAATTCAGAGTGAGAAGCTGAGGCATGTGGGTGGGCAAGAGTGTGGACACCAAGGGCTTGGCATCGGGGGTCCCAGGCTGTAGGGCGGAGATGCCACAGAGGCGTGGAGGGTCTGGGCAGAGGGCCGCTGGCCTTGTCCCTCATGAGCAGAGCTGAGGCCAGTCCACACCCCAGCCCAGCCCCAGGCGCACCTGCCACCTGTCCTCAGCAGGCACGGTGGACACAGGCAGCCTTCTCTGCCCACCCTGGGGCAGTCGGGGTCAGGGCCACGTGGCTGCCCACGCCTGCCCTGGCACCACAGCTGGGCCTGGGGTCCCCCAAGTAGCACAAAGCCGGGTCTGGCTTGGCCCAGCCACGAGCTCTGATAGTTGCAGACACCCCACGGCCAGCCCACCAGGGGAGCAGCAGGGCCCAGGCCCGGGGGACACGCAGTAGCTCTCCCGTCCAGGCTCGCTGCTCGGCGCACAGTAGGGGCCGGTCCATGCCTGCTGGGCCAAAGCACACTGGTGGCCCCTGTTTTCAGTGTCCCGCTGTGGTCTGGGGTGCAGGGTCCCCCAAGAGCCTACGAGAGCCGCCAGTATCACCCACTGCTGCACGCTCCCTCCGCGCCCTGCCGTGCTGGCCGCGGAGATACACGCCAGGCACGTGGGCCGAGTGCGGCCCCGAACAACCTCCAGCGTGGGTGCCCAAAGGGCCAGGGAGACCCCACCACGGGTTTGGGAGCTCACCAGGCAGAATGGCTCCGCTCGGGCCGTGAGGGCCTGTGGTCAGCCTGTCCCGCCCAGCGGCGTGGACTTGGATGCTGGCACGGGCGACCTGCCCGAGGCACTCGAGTGTCTGAGGCAGAGTTGCCTCTGCGCCAAGGCTGCCACGGTGGCCCCGGGTCGAGCCTGCGCCCACTGCCCTGGCTGGCCGCAGCCTCGCAGATGCCTTGCTCAGGGCTGCAGCCGGGGCAAGGGCCACCCACGTTCCAGCCTCTGGAACAAGAGTCCAGGAGGGGCCTTCAGCTGTCATCAGAGGGGTAAACTGAGGCCACAAGCCCCTTGCTCCCTGCCAGGATGGGGCCAACTGTCCCGTGTGTGGCCGGGCTGCCCTGCGGGCTGAGCGGATGGCTGTGAAGGGACGAGTGTTTCTCTGGAGCCGTTCTCACCCCGTGGGACACATCCCCGCCCCCACCCAGAGCAGACACTCAGCTGTCCCCGAGAGGGCTGGGGCAGGGGCCCTGCCTGCGGCGGGATGGGCTCAGTGGGTGCTCTGGGCTGATGGCCACTCGGGACTTGAGTCCCAAGCAAAGGGTTGAGCTCAGGCAGGGGGGTGGCCTGACTGGGCCCTCAGGGACGGCGGCTCCTGCTGGGCAGTGCTGAGGGACATTGTGAGCAGGCTGTGGAGGGCTGGGGTCGGACACATGTGCACGCGGGTCAGGTGTGCGCGGGCCCATTCTGCTATGTAGGTCTGTATGTAGCTGGGTGTACACGTGTGCAGGTACGTGCGCGTGTGCGTAGGTGTTAGTGGGTGTGAAGGTGTATGCAGGTGTACACAAACGTGTGGGTGTACACAGTTGTGTGCCCGCATATATCCATGTACACACAGGTATGTGGAGGTGCATCCGAAGGTGCAGGTGTGTGCAGGTACGTAGGAGGCCATGTGCTTGGCAGGTGTGTGCAGGTGTCCCCAGTGCCTCTGCCCTGGGCCACGCGGCTGAGGTGCCACCCGGGGCAGGCTGCCGGGCTGCGGTCGGAGCCAGCGCCTAGCTGTCCTGTGCCCAGCGCAGGGAGGGTCTGGGGACAGGCATCTGCCGGGGAGGACCGCCCGGCCGGGCTGGCCAGGGAGAGGGGCTCGAGCAGAAGGCCTGACAGCAGAGGACCCTGCTTGTCCCGGAGCCCCGGCTCCTCCCGGCCCGCAGCACTGACGCGCGGCTGTTCCTCCGCAGACGAGATGAGCGACCACCAGAACACCCTGTCCTACGTCCTCATCAATCCCCCGCCCGACACCAGGCTGGAGCCCAACGACATCGTGTGAGTAGGCCCCTGCTCCCCCACCGTGTGGGGACCTGCCGAGCAAGACTCGGGGGCCGGGGAGACGGGCACCGGGCCCTAAGAGCCGCACAGCGGCGCCACTCAGGGGTCTGGGTCGGGGGCTGCCCGTCCACGTCCACAGGGTCCCCTCTGCCTGCCTGCAGGTATCTCATCCGCTCGGACCCCCTGGCCCACGTGGTCGGCAGCCCCCAGAGCCGAAAGGGCAGCTGCAGCCACAAGCTGGTGTCCTGCAACCCAGAGACTCGCGACGAGACACAGCTCTGAGCCGGCTCTGCGTGGAGCTCACCCGCTGGGCGGGCGGGCATGTGCCCGGCCCCGGAGGCCGCAGGAGGCGAGGGAGGAGCCTGCGCAGACCCGGTCATGCTGGCTTGGCCTGGGAAGCCCAACCCCACTCCCTGAGGCTCCTGAGACTCGACCCCGGAAAGGAGACCCCCGCACAGGGCGAGGGGGGACCACCCAGTGTTGGAAGCCGGCGGGAAGCGTTTTTTAACCTATTTTTACAAACCTGTGCGATCCACGCCTCTACGCAGACATACCGCAACTCGTGACGGGGCCCGGCCAAGGGTGGTGACGGCATGGAGACAGGACACCCTGCACGGCCGGGCCCAGCTGCCCGGGGTGTGGGCAGGGCAGGGAGGGGCAGAGCTCACACCTGGACCGGGGAGGCCCAGGGGCCCCTGCAGGCCAAGCCGGCCTGGCTTGCGCTCAGGGGGCCAAGGCTGCTGTCGTCCGCCCCGCTAGCACTTTCCGAAGGAAGTTAGAAGCAGACGGTGCCCTTGGAAGCTGGGCCAGGAGGCCCCTGCCGAGGGGGTCCTGCAGCCGGTGACCTGGCAGAAAAGAGGTGTTTGCTGTACTGTACCCTGAGCCGTCCCAGCTGTGGCCGTGGGGACATCGGGGCAGACGACGGTGCGTTTCCACGGAGCCCTCACACCCTTGAGAGCAGAGGCCCCTTGCTAAACTCCCCTCTGTGAAGCACAATCCAGCCTCGGGGCGGCTGCTGCTGTCCCCAGAGGCTCTTCCCAGCGAGGGACGCTCTGGGCGGCGGCTGTGGCTGGGAGCTGCCGCCTCGGTTCCGCTGCGCTGGTTGGTTCCTGGTCTGAACGCCAGTGCTGGAACCTTCTATTAAATGGATGCGTTCTGCACGCATGCCAGTCGGTCCTCCTGCTTGTGGCTTTAAGGCTCTGGGCCTTGAAGAAGGTCCAGAGGAGACCAGGGCCCACCCGCCCCAGCCCCCAGTTCTAAGGGTCAGGGACACCTGCAGTGACCCCAGCCTGACCTCACAGGCAAGTCCCTTCCAAAAAGCGGGAACCAAATCCTTTGTGCTGTGGGGTGACTGGGTCCTGGCAACCAGGAGTGTGCCGGGGGCCTGTGTCCTGGAGGCCCCTCCCCACCGCAACCCAAGTGTGCCCCCCCAGTGGCTCAGAGGCCCCGGGCTCTGCCCCGGGTGCGTGCTCATGCACATGGCTCATCTGAGGCCAATACCTGCTGCTGGGGACCTACACTGGGGGCCAGGACTGCCTGGGCGGGAGTGTGTGCACCTCACCGTGTTCCTTTCAGGAAACCCCGAGAAGCGAGGGGAGGGTGACGGGGAAGGGCAGAGGGCCCAGGCGCAGCCCCTCCTCTGTGCCAGGGAGCTTCTCAAGGGGCAGGCTCTGGAGGGTGGGGGCTGCTGGGGGCCCGACCGCCCTCTCCTGTGCCCACTCCCACCGCCCAGGGCCCTCCCTGCTGAGAAAGCACCAGGAGCCCTTGGTGAGGAGCAGAGCCAGTGTGGGTGTCCAGGGAGGGGTGGGCAGATTCACAGGGCAGGGAAGTCCTGGGGCCTTGATGCTGTGAGGCGTGGCTGACACTGGGCGAGGGTGGCCGGAGCCCACCCAGCCAGGTGAGGGTCTGTCACTGGCTCCCGAGGTCCCAACAAGCATCCCCTCCTCTGCCACCTCCCTGCAGTGGGCAGGGCCCTGCGGCCACTCCAATACCGAGGTGCCTGTGGGTATCTTACCCGTGGAAGGGGGCGCAAAGGCTAAGTGCAGTCCCCTCTAAGAGGCTGCAGGCTTGCTGCCGGGGAAGAGCTGGGTACGCCGAAGAACTGAATTCCAAAAGGCATCGCTGCCTAGAATGAACTGAAAGAATTTTTTTCAATGTTTTGCAGTAGGTTTTTTGGAAACATACAAAATTAGTAAGAGACCTTCTATTTTCCTTATACCTAATTGATCTAACAGAAAACTTTGCTCCAAGTAATACCAACAATGTACAGGGTGAGTGTAGCTATGGATGGATGAAGCGAGTAACAGGGGAGGGGTCGGGCGTGCTCAGTCACAAGGTCTACACGACCTGTGAAGTGGCACGGTGTCATTTGCAAATGGATCTGGGTGAGTGGGAAATACACACTGCAAGCTCTAGTGTGACCGCTAAAAAATACATTTAAAGAAGTATAACTGACATGTTGATATGCTAGGAAAAGATATGGAATCATATAAAATGCGAAAGAAAGAGAAGTCAGAAAAAGGAGGGACAGAAACTAGAAACCTAGGCAACGAATGGAAAACAGTTCCAACTATGTTAGACATTAATCCAGCTAGACCAATGATCACATTAAATGTAAATGGTCTAAGTAGACCAACTAAAAGACACAGGCTGACAGATTTAAAAATGTCTCAGAATTATCAAGAGTCACATAACCAGCACACCAGTGGTCAGCATCATGCCCCACCTGCCCTGCTCACCTCAAGGTAGGGTGTGACTCCAGCCTGGAGGGTTTAAAGTGACTCCCAGATGACATATGATTTTACAGCAAGCAAGCAGTTCAGCCAGCCAGCTCCCCGAGGCTGCAGGTCCCCAAAGGCCCCCAGGGACAGGAAGGCATCATGCTCAGCAGCAACCTGTTGCACAAGAGCTGCAGCTGGCCAGGTGTACAGGCTGCAGAAGCATCTATGGCCAGGTGGTGCAGGCAGCTGGAGGCCAGCGAGAGCTCTTCCAGGCAGGTGCCCACTTGAAGGAGCCAGGTACCTGAGAGTGCATGTAGCTCATTCATTGGGGACACTGAGGCACAGTCCCCCTAGCCCCCTGTAACTATCTATGCCTCCTGCCAGATATCCAGGGTGTTGGCCACAAGGATCAGCCCCTGCAGTGCACCCAGACCCCAGAAAGCCACTGCCTCCACCCACAGGTGCTGAGTCCAGCGTCCGAGGCCCAGGCTCCAAAGGCCCCCACCTTGCACGGGTGGAGGATGGGGAGCAGGTGAGGGCTGGGTGGTCTCAGAGGTCCCTCGGGATTTCAGAGGTGTTGCTGCTGTGCCGGCTACGTAGCCAGAGGAAGCCGGCAGGGCTGAGGATGGAGAGCAGCCCTGAGAGTGGCCGCCCCAGAGCCTTGCTGCTCCCACACGCCCCGGCATTCCCTAATCAGGTGGCAGAGGGGCCACAGGGCAGCGGGGCAGAATCGCGCTGGGCCCTTGACACATGGCTCTGTTCACCACCCGGAATCCCAGCCGGACCAAGGACAGGAGCAAGGAGCCAACAGCCCCTGGGGCTGACAGTGCCTCAACCTGTGCAGGGCACCACCAAGCCACAGCCCCCACCACTTGGATCACTCTGTCCGGGGATAGGAGCTGCCACCCGGCCCTTCCTGGGGCCCCAGCTCTCCAGGGCCACCTCCACACCTGACCTCAGCCTGTCTCTGTCTCTCTTTATAGATGCTCTACCTCCCCACCTGTCCTGCTGTGGCCCCGGGTGACCTGACACCTCTGAATGTTCCCTTGGGTGGCTCCCTGACCCATGACCTACCTCTACTCCACCTTGGTGACACACACACCCCTCCCCTGCCATCTCCCATCCTCGGGACTCCTGCCTCAGGTGGCCGTTGCAACTCTTCTCTTGCAGCCTCTAAACTGCCCGCCCTGGCTCTTCCCCGGTGCCCACCTGGACGGAGCCGCCTTCCGCTCCCAGAGGGCCAGGGGAAACCGTGCTGGCCTTTGGCACACACACCTCCGTGAGGCCAGGTGGCCACCACAAAGTGGCCCCAAACCCCACTATGTCCCCTCCTCTAGACTCCCCCACCTGCCCACGACAATGCTGCACAGCTGTACCCTCCCAGCCAGCTCCCCGGACCCCACCCACATGCACCTGAGCCAGGTGGATCCCAAACAACATTGCTGATCCTCCCCCACCGTCCTCCAGAGTCTGTCCTGGCCTTCCTAGTTCTCCTCCACGTGGCCCGAATGCCAAAGTTTCCCGGGTGCTGGCCCCCATCTACCCACACCGCCATTATCCACCCCACCCAGCTCTGGGCACCCTCACACTCTAAAAGGCTGCCTCATGGCACCTCAGCCTCCCGTGTCCAAGCTTATGTGTCTCTGCCACGCCCAAGACCCCAGGCCCTTGCTGCAGGAAGGCCTGTGCCTCGCACTCGGCCAGCCCAGGGAGCAGTACTGGCAGCTGGCGGGACAGGTCTGGAGGAAGCAGCCCATGGTGGCAAAGGCAGCTGCCCACCTGCAGGGAGCCTGCGGCCAGCACAGCCCTGCAGCAGAGGCAGGCGGCGGGCACAGGGACGGGGGGCACAGGACATGAAGAGAATCCCGTGGTCCACCCGCATCAGGGCTCTCCAGGGGCCGCCTCGCATCTGAGTCCGTACCCCGGGGCCCCACCTGTCTTGGGCTTTCTGGGCCCTTTGCCAGGTCTGCCAGGCAAGCCCCGAGGAGCACCGGGTAGAGGGAGGGCTTCAGCATACGGAGGAGGGGGCTGCGCAGGAAGCTCCAGGGCAGTGTGGAGCAGCCCCTTGCCTTCCATCCTGGGGGACCCCCACCACCCAGTGATGGGCCCCCAGCTCTAAGGACCCAGCCTCTGCCAGGCTGAGCAGCCAGGTCCCCTCCAGGCTCAGGTTCCCTCTCCTCCCCGGCTCTGCTCTGGCCCCCAGAGCTGCCCCTCTGTTCGCAGACAGGAAACAGTGCACTGGCCTCGCTGGCCCCACAGGCTGCCTCTGGCCATCCCAGCCCTTCAATGGCAACCCCTTTAGTCCAGGTGCCCCGAGGGGCACGAATGACCAGGAGCCCCCTAAGAGCTAAGCAGCTGTGAGGGAAACACCTCTGGCCTGGGCCTCAGGCCCCCACCAGCCCCCAGAAGCCTGGCTCCAGCCCTGCATTCCAAGCAGGGAGGGTATTCTGCAGCTCCTCTTGTCATGGGAAAACTGGGCCCCCACCCCACCACAAATGAGCCCCCAAGCTGCCCTGGCTTTCCCGCCACTGCTCTCATGACCCCCAGCGAGTCGGGCAGGGTGCTGGGAGCCGAGATTGCCAGGGCCAACGCTCCCCGTCCCAGCCTGGGCATCCTGGGGATGCGGGGGCCAGAGCCCCTGAGTAGCCTGCGCGGCCGCTGTGGTCTGAAGGGTCGTTTTCCTGCTTCTCATCCTGGCCGCTGAAAAGTGAAAATGGTACATTATGTGATAAAAAATAAATAGGTTAAAAAAAGGAAGCAGGCATATACACGAAAATTGTCCCCACCCGGCCTCGCTCCCTGAACCACCACCAGGCAAATCCTTTTGTGTCCTGAACGTCCCTGTGCCCGCCACCCTGCAGCAGGGCCACTCCCCTAAACCAACGCGATGACAGCTCTGGCCGCCTCCCTTCCCCTGGGTGCAGACAACCTGGCAGTCGAGTTTTCCTCCCAGCACACAGACCGACCAGAAACCAGGGTGCACACGGGACATGGCGGGTGACCCAGGACCACAGGCTGCCCACAGCCGACTGTCCTTGAAGCACAAGCCAGCCCCACGAGGGCCACTGGCTGGGCTGTCTCCAGACCCACATGGGGCCCCACCGTCCCCCGCCTCCCCGAGCTGGGGCGTTCACGCCTGGCGGCATGGCCTGTACGCAACAAGTTCAGACGGGAAACTCTCTAAGCCGCAAGAAACAGTCTGGCCCCACTGCCCTGCCCGCCTGCCCGGGGACGCAAGGCCAGCAAAGCTGCCTTGACCTGCGGAGGCTGGTGGGCGGCCGCAGGGGCCGTCCCAGAAGTGCTCACGGCTGCTCAACGGGCATTCGGGGCTGTTCACGCTCATCTCCACCTGAACCACGGGATTTTAAACGGTGACAGGGTAGTCTAGCGGGACACAGTGCTTGAACACCCCACACCTTGACACTGGCTCAGGGCTAGTCCCAG